ATATATATATATATATATATATATATATATATATATATATATATATATATATATATATATCAAATTGCAGCCGAATGTCACTGTGCGTAAATGCGCATTAATGAACCCAAATGTAAAGCTCTAACAGGCGATAACATAGCGGCGGTGGTTCTACCTAATTAGATAAACTGTGAAAACTTTGCAGCAGGTCTGTCTGCATGTGTGCAGCAGCAGTGACACTAACCAGAGAGACTTGCAGTGGCCTTTTTTCTTTTTCTTTTTTTTTTTTTTTTTTTAGCAGATCCCAACATGTTTGGGGCGCAGAGCTGCGGGGCTGCAAGAAGTTTGACCTCAGTTTGACTTCATCGGGCTGCCTTTTGTTTCTCCACTAACTCCGGCCATCAACTAAAAGTCTGCCTGGTACAAGTTAGGTAAACTGAACATTTAAATACTGAAATGTTAATAATTTCTACTTTGATCTCAAACGACAGAGAGAAAAATATCAAATTACTGTGGAGCATATAGGTTTTATTTTCTAATTAATATTTTTTTGTGTCCTATTCTTAAAGCTTTGTTCTCTTTATTGTTGCCACGCAGCAAACATTAAGACGCCATGGCTGTCTAGGAAAGCTTCCCATTTGTCTCTTCAGTCAAACGCGCTGCTGTCAATTTGCATCCAGTCATTTGAAAGTAATATGCAGTGATTTTATTGAAACGACTCCATGCGTTACCGTCATCGCAAAGCGGATTAAGCCGAAGTGACGGTATTTGCCCTCCGCGCTCTCCTTTCAGGGTCCCAAAACGCACTGACCCTCACCAAAGAGCAGCTCCAGGATAGACCGCGGCGCTCCAGTTTTGCTTTTTATGGACGCTAATTGAAGGCGCTTAATTGCTTTATAATGCCACGGTGGTTGTTTTACAGTCAGCAGGCGTTGATGTGGACTCCTTTCATGTTAATTCATAGTTTCTTTTTCATAGTTGCTTGCTGAAATTTTAACTCAGAACTACATTATCTTGAGTGGAAATTCCAGCTTCCTTTTACATTTCATTTTTTTTTTTTTTTTTGCGCTTTAAATAATGTAATTATTTAAAATTGTCTAATTAATTATTTACAATTTTAATAAAAATGGAGGTCATACTCACCACTATACAGATGGGATAACAAGCAAAGCAACAAGTAAGCCCAGGATTTGCCTTGATCGGTGTTTTCCTCAGTGCGTAAAAATCTCGCGCCCCCGCTGATGCTCTGCCCCTCTGTCCGCTCCTGGGAGCCACGCCGGCCGGACTGCAGCAGCTTCTTTTGCCGGTCGTTTCCTGCCCGTTAAACCGCCGCTTTGGATCCGACCGCTTCAGGACTTATATGCTCGGGAAGAGGCGCCGAGCGTGTGAAGCTGTATTATCCATGTTGTGACACCGACGGTGGCACCGGGGGGCAGATGATCGATGGCTGGACGCTCCTGCGTAAAGAAGAAAAAAAAAAAAAGAACCCACAAGCAACACCTTTTCATTCACAAGAAGCGAAGGGAAAAAAGATGCGGAAACCTCTGGAGGGACATAAACTATATATATATATATATATATATATATATATATATATATATATATATATATATATATATATATATATATATATATATATATGCTATAATTCTGGACTTTCTAAGGTCATTTTATCTACTAACAATGAATTAAGTGGATGTCATCCTGTCCACATGAAAAAAGCTGTTGATAATGTATTTGCATACATTAAAGTAGTTAAACACGACTCTTAATTGGGGTAAAAATAAGACAGCGTGTCATATATAAATCACACAAGCACAGCAATCATACCTGCTTCCTTTGCAGTTGTTTCTGTATAAATGTCAGGTCCGCCAGCGCCATTTAAAATTCATTCATATTTATTATCTTTATTTATAAAATCATTGCATATAAAACTGCTTTCTGCAGAAGTCAACAGTCAGCACAAAAGATAATCCTATAATAAAGACATAAGATGATATGAACGTTGTTGTTTTTTATTAAGTATGAAAACTTTTTTTTAATCCATGCATTGAAACAAAAATCAATTAATAAAAGAAAAAAAAACTGTGCTTTTGCGTAGAAAGTTAGAAAAATTATAATCATAAATTTTGATTGAATAATTTAAGTTTTTTATATAATGTTAGAGAACGTGGAAGGTGAAGAAAACGCAAAAGGATGCCTTCTCTCTTCCCAGACTCTTTTTAAATTTGCCTCCGCCTGTGAATGTGGCCTAAGAAGTCGATCAATCAACTAAGAATCGATCAAACTATTGGAGGGGGGGTAGGGGGGGTTACCATCCTTCTGCCTCGCTGCCATTGGACAAACCTGGCAGAGTGGAGCGACCCATTCGGCGCAGCTGCGGGGGAGCGAACCCTATCAGCTGTTATTCAGAATTTAAAAAGTGCTCTCATAAAGAGTTTTACATCAAGTCGACTTAACTTTGAGATGGAAACCAAAACAAAGACATAAACTGCACACCCCTTACTTAAAGCCAAACCATTTTAAAGGTTAAATGTAAACCACACTTGCAAATAACTTGGTTATTCCCATAGAAGTCTCTCAGTAGTCTGCTCTCTCTTCAGTTATTTAATTTGTTTCATATTTCAATTGCAAGTCTGCACATTTAATATTCTCGCACTTTGTTGTAATGAGTGAAGGGAAAGCTCACAACCTGCAAACAAATGGATGTTTGGTCACAATCATGCAGTCATTGCCTTCTACACTGCTAAAACAAATGGTTAGAATTGGATCTATAAATATGAAGCAGGGATCTGCGTCCATTTTTTCAAAAGTAGATTTTATTCAGTTTTTCTTAACCAAAAGTCAAGATGTAATAAAAGTTATTAATAAATCCTAACCCAATGCGTAAGAATGAGTTACTAAAGTAAATTAGCAGGGTTTGACTGTATGTAGATCATTTTGCGAGTCTGGTTTGTTTAGTAAAAAGAAACAAAACAGTACAAAACAATTTGCTAATAAAGTATGGAATGCAGCTGAAATACTATTATCTTACAAGGTGAGTGGGGAAACTTTTCCCTGACCATAACATATCCGGTGTTTATGATTAGCACCATATTCCAGAGTTAAAAAGCTCAGTTTGCCCTTAGTATTGATGCAAAACTATTTAATACATTAATTCAAACTAAAATAATAAACTTTTAGAGTTTTTTTTATTTTTATTTTGGAGCATAACACATTTCCCAGAACCCCACAGTTACTCTGTGTAACTTACTGGGAATGACCGCCTCAGATTTATGACAGCTTGCATTAACTTTCAATAAAACTCTTGCATTGGTGCTCTTGCAAAACTAGTTCAAGTGAATAAAAGGTGAGGTTCTTTCTTCATAGAACATATCACAACCACGAGTCTAATAAGAGTTCTCATCAATTTCACAAATTGGATTTATTCAATCTTAAAACGTGCAACTTTTATTAGTATGAAAGCCCTCTGTTGGACATGAAGGCAGAGAAAATGATAATAACAGTTAAATTCTAATCATGATTTTTATCTCCAACTAACAACTTTGATTAAACTTTAGATCATTTTATTGTCTAATATTTAGTACCCTGAAAATGCACTTTTTATAGTGTAGTGAAAGTCTGATTTCAGTATTAATTCTAGAGCAGATGTGTGGGTTCATTCCTTCATTTAGAGTCCTGACCATCAGGGGTCTTAATTACAAACCTGACAATAACTCACACAATTATAAGATGTCTTGATTAGTCCTCTATCCTCAGCTTCTCTTAAATGGACGATGGACCAATCAGCGCCAAATCCTGCAGGTTTTGCAGCCAAACAGTGAAGAAAACAATGAGTGTGTGGGGATCTGGCTTGAATCTGACACCATAAGTGGATTTTAAAATATTTCTGTGAGTGTTTATGTCGGAACGGCTGACTCCGCTCCGCTCCTCTCGCAGGGTCCTCCCACCCCTTCTCTCAGCCGCCACTTGCTGCAGCCCGGTGCGTTGTGTAAGACGCGACCTGTTATGGCCACCACTACTTCCGGGTTTCAGCAGTCTGGTCCAGACCCTCCGCGCTCCTCCTCAGCTCGAGACGCACACAACATCCCCATTGTGCGCAGACGGCCGAGGCTGCATACGCATGCACACGCACCCTGCATACACTCCCCACTGGACGCGTTCGCGCACTCGCGCGCTGCATCGATCGTGGCTCCTTTAAGAGAGCCCAAGCCAGAATTATCACCCCACCTCCTCTTGATCTTCCTCTAGACGCTTTTGCATAAGAAAATCAAGCTGGGAGCCGAGAGTGATCAAAGAAAACGAGAGGAGAGCTGCTTCGTTTTTTAACGCTGATTGTGACCATTAAGCGTTGAGGTGGTGCTGATCCCGTGGAGACGCGCGTCGGATCCATCATTCATCCGCTACTTTTGACAAGCCCTCTCGCGTTGTGACTGACAGTCGGAGTGGCAGAAAAGCGATGAGAGTGGCCAATTTTGTTTAAAGGGGGTTGTTTTATTTTTACCCTGCTTTGGGAAAAGGACCCCGGCGCCGCTGCCGAGAGGACAGCCGAGGACGTGTATTCGTCGTGCCCGGGCTGAACTTGCAGTGAGAGCGAGCGGGAGCTCCTTGGAAGAGACAAGAAGAGAAGAAGGAGCTCGGGATTTTGGCTAAAAGCTCTTCTCTTTTGTTTTGGATTTTCCTTCTTTTGTCCCGCGTCCATCCTGGCCCAAGAGGGGATTTACCTAAACTGAAAGGGCAACCAGGGAGTGAGGAGGGTTATGGCGCAACGGGTACGTAGGGACAATCCTCCACCGAAAAAAAGTTTCTCTGAAGTCCACTGCGATGCTTGCTCTGTAACGTGGCTTCATTGACGCTCATAGCCACACGGACCCACGCTCGGCGGCGAAACTTTCTATCCTCTGCCTTCTTGACAAAAGGAGACAGGGTTGCAATGTTTGGCGTCTTTTGGCACGGTGTTACGCACGGCCGCGCTCCACGATCCGACCTCACCGCGGGATACTGGAAGCGCGATCATATCTCTCATCGGGCTATGTTTTTTAGATTAGTTATGACAGGCCAGTAACTGGAGGCGAGGTGTAGGGGGGAGGGCGTAGAGGCAAAACAAATCCATGCATTTTTCTTTATTTGGAGCGTCCAGTCAATATTGAGTACTTTTATTTATTGTCCAAAAAAAACTAAACTTTCGTACTATAGCGCTGGAAATGAGACATAAGCATGTTTTGTAAGGTTGGGATGATTCATATAAGTAGTCCTGGACCTTAACATGGTGTAAAAGCAGTTGTGTTGCAGGGAGCGGAGGCATTTAGCTGCTTAGTTTGGCACTGCTCTGCAGCCACACCACGCTGGGGTTTGCACCTCTTTGCCTTTAGGGTCGAAACGCTCAGCTTTTAGTGATAATGCTTTTTACTCTCTCCCCGACACTTGTTTGTCACGTCTTGAGAGCTCCATCAATAATTCAGACTCTATTTTTTTCCTTCAGTGTGTTACAGAGGAAAATGCTGTAGTAAGTTTCAACTCATTTTGAGATCAGATTGTATCTTCTACTTCTAAAATAAATTAAGTCTTTAAAAACGAGTAGGCAGAGATCTGAGTTTAAAAAGATGATTATTTAGGTAAAGTTTTGTCGGGGAAAAAAACTATCCGCACTAAACGTTCTGTACTTGGTTTGCTGCAAAAATACGATCTTTGAAAATAGAAAAGTTTAAGAGACTTTGTGCATCGTACAAAGCAAAGCAAAAGAAAATCAGGACATTTTAACCCCATTTATTATTTAATATATTCTCAAGAAGCCACGTTACAACATTTTTATAAAAAGAAAAATAAAACAAACAAAACTTTTCCTCTTTCTGGCTTGAATAATCGTAGTGAATGATCTTAGAATAAAAGTAAATATTAGTAAATGGTACTAATTAAACTCGGTGTTGAAGCTTTACTTTTGGAAACAATGTCCTGCTTCAGATTTGGAAACTTTTCCTCTGCGCGAAAATAACTTAAAGCACCTAAAATGCATTTTGTTTTACTATTTTGTTTGATAAATATGTCAACATTTTTTAAGATTTGAAAAACTAACTTCACTTAAAAGAATTATGCTAAATTTAAAAAATATGTTTTAATTAATTTAAAAAAAATCATGCGTTTCCCGATTAAAGAAAATGTTTGATTTTAATAAAACACACTTTCTAATGCAGAATACTGAATATGTTCTTGTCCTGTTTCTGATCTGACTCCGGTAATTCTGCATGCCTGTCCAGTTTTAACTGCCTCCTTGTTGTGTGCAGTACGAAGACTTGCCCCACTACGGGATGGACGGGGTAGGCATCCCAACCACCATGTACGGAGACCCGCACGGTGCCCGCTCCATGCAGGCGGTGCACCTCAACCACGGCCCCCAGCTCCACTCCCACCAGTACCCGCACACCGCGCACACCAACTCCATGCCTCCGAGCATGGGCTCCTCCGTCAACGACGCTCTCAAGAGAGATAAAGACGCAATTTACGGGTAAGGTGCGAGCCTATTCGGAAACAGCCGCAATGAGTTTGTGGATGTGCAATTTGGCGGAAAGAAGCAGGAAAACAAGAGCAGCTTATCCGAGGATAGTTTTTATTTGGTGTCCAGAAGTAAAGCATAGAGTTGCTGCTTTTTCTTTTTCTTTGCTTAGTGTTAGAGGGTGAGGCAAGTGTACAATTTGATATTGTAAAATTAATAAGTTCGCTTAAAAATTGTGACTTCACTGCTTGGGTATTATATTATAATATTATTCCTCATATTTAATCTTATTTTTTAACTTTGATAATGAGCGTAAAAAGGCAATTGCTGTATATTTACTTATTAATTACATAATTTTCCTCATGGTTAAGCCTATTTTGAATTAAATAAATAATAATTACCCTTTTACTTTTCCTCAAATTATATATATATATATATATATATTGTATTGAATTATTTGCTACATTTCTACAAAGAGGTGCAATAGGCACACACACTGTAAACTGCATCCAAACTCACACAAGCCTCTGACCCAAACGGGAGATTTTGTGCTTGAAATTGTTTGACAGACTCTCAAGCTTTTATGCTATTAGAGGCAGAGCAGATTTAATCAAAAGAGTCCGCTCGCTGTTTGTAGCTCTTCTAGAGAGCTTGCCCTAAAACAGAAAAAAAAAAGAAAAAAGGCGCACCGTGCTGAAGCAGCTTCAGTCCCCACGGGCAGGGAAGGGGGTATAGACGCACGGCTGGCTACATCCTATAGCCGGGAGAAGCGTTGACCCCGGCGCTGTTCTCTCTGGTGACATTTGCTATTGTATGTGTGTGTGTTCCCAGGCACCCCCTGTTCCCCTTGCTTGCACTGATTTTTGAGAAATGTGAATTAGCGACTTGCACCCCCAGAGAGCCCGGGGTGGCGGGAGGAGACGTCTGTTCGTCGGAATCTTTCAATGAAGACATAGCGGTGTTTGCAAAGCAGGTCAGAAAAAAAAAAAAAAAAAAGTTTGACTTTCTGCTGCACAGGGCTGCATGTTCGGACCGGTTGAGCTCATATAGCTCCAGGTTCATAGTACCTTTGCATTGCTTTTGCATGAACAAAATCACAATTAAATCCCAACATTGTGTGTTTTCAGTTGTGCGCATATTTTTGCGCTTTTTACGCGCATGCGCGCTAAATTAATAAAATATTCTATATCCATGTTTTCCTGAAACATTTTGTTTTTCTTGCAGATTCGGGCAGAAAAGCCTCTATTTTCATCAAATCCAGAGTTGGATAATCTGGTGAGAAACCAAATTATTTTATGTAGCAGATTTGAACTTTTTAGATAGAAGTTAGAAGTCTCCTGATGGGCTGCTCCTATTCGCTGTATCGCCACGTGGGGCTGAGAAGTGCAAACGGCATTGCACATCATGTTCCCCCCAGTTTGTGCTGTTTGATATAATGATGGCCCCCGGTTGTATGTGCACATAAAGGGCCGCTGTTAGAAGACGGTCACGCACCTTTAAACTCCCCAAAGTTATTCTGTTCCACCTTTTTTCCACTACTAGATGTCTTAAACGTGATGTTATAGAGAAACACTCTTTTTATCATTAGATTAGATGAAGTGGGGCTAATAGATCTCTGACTCTGAGGCTTATTGCAGTTCCAGCCTGCGCTCTGCATATCCACATTGCAATAACGTCCAAGTTTAATATCACTTCCACATAAAATCCATTGATATGAATATTTCGCTCATCTGCAGTTACTTGCATTGAGAAAAACGCACGTGTTTAATATCAGGAGATGTGAACTGCTCATTTTTTTATTGTTATTTAAATTTTTCAGATGATTCAAGCCATTCAAGTTTTACGATTTCATCTTCTGGAGCTGGAGAAGGTAATATTACTGTCGCTGCTTTTGCCCTTCCTGACTTTACGCCGTCAGTGATTAATGTTCACCACTCTTGTTTCAGAAGCTTACAAACATTTAGTTTTTTTTTTTTTTTTTTTTTTGTCCAGCATGCCACTTCAGACCTATGGGCTGTATCTGCATAAATGTATTTTTGCGAGTCGGTTATAATTAGCGTCGAAATCAATCATGGGGCCATTTTTTTTCTTGCCTTGCACACTTTAATCACGGCGCAAGCTGTTACAACTGGAACGGATATCTCTGTGCACCAAATATCTCTAATGAAGCTTAATGTTGGCAGCGACAGAACGCAAGGTGAAACATGTAGGCAAACTTTGCGGGTTTTTTTTTTTCCAAAATTGATTCTTTAAGGAGGGCAGAAGGCCCTCGGGCGGCCATCTGTGTGTAGACCGAGCAATGAGTGTTATATAGTGAGATTTGTTTCTTTATCAGATGGACGTCTGAAGCGCAATCAACTTATATATATATAGTAAAAAAGCTTCTTAATAAATAAAAATATATACATATATATTTAGACTTGGGATCTATATTTAGTTGAACGTATAATAAAATTTAGATTTCCAACCCCAAGTCTTTTGTCGAGCTGCATCACCCTGGCAGTGATAATGTAGTCCTTCTGAGAGAAAATGAAACAGTTTACCTTAAATGTCAGTCAAGCGGGTCGTCCTCGGTTTAATGGCCACTACCCGGGGCACCGATGATGAATTTAGCACGGGTGTTGAGTGTGTTGTAGCCTCTGAGCCCTCTTGTCACTGTCAATTTTTGACGATATCTCTATTTTGAGTGGAGAGAAATTAAAGCAGCAGCTTCCTGTGGAAACGTATCTATGAAATCTAAACAAATATTTAAAAACTTTAAGACTGGTTGGGGGAAATAAAATAGAAGAATTTGAAAAGTTTACTTTGATATCAAATTAACAAACTTTTTTGTCTAAATAAAACTTCACATGCTTGTAACTTTTGAACTTTTATTTTGTAATATGACAAAAATTGAGTCAAAATTATTACGTCGATTTTTTATTTTTATTTTGAATGAATCACTGTTAAACTAGTTAAAGTACATATCCTGATTAGCATAACTTCTAAAATATTTCCCTTCAGATAAAAAAGTACTTTTATTTAAAAAAGAAAAAAGTAGGCCCACAGGATGTTTTCTGTTCTGCTTACTTAATATTGAATTAAATCAGATACTTTTAAATTTATCCACACTGAACAGGATTTCATCTGGAAAAAACTTTGAGAATAATTTTATTTTTGAAATTGTTTCCATTCTGCTTCATTTTCTTATTATTATGAAATGTTTTCCCTTCTAAAATGTTTGCTGTTTTTTAAAATCTTTTCCATCTTGGCACTGCTGTGTAATCCCCTCTCTTCCTTCCCTCCCTGCAGGTACACGAGTTGTGTGATAATTTCTGTCACCGGTACATCAGCTGCTTGAAAGGCAAGATGCCCATCGACTTGGTCATAGACGACAGAGAGGGCGGGTCTAAATCAGACAGCGAGGAAATCACGAGATCGGTGGCGTTGGATCAGGTAAACAGAATCTCTCCATCTCCAACTTGGTGCATGTGTGTGAGAGCGCGCGCGTTCTTTGCGCGCGTGTGCTTTCTCCCTGCCGGCTATTCAGCTATTCTGGGTCACTGCTCCACTCCTCCGTTATTTGCATATGATTAAAGCCCGTTTTACATTCCATCCATCGGAATGAAAGAAGAAAAATCTGAATAATGTTGCTATTATTGGTCCATTAAGACTTGAACCCGGAACCGACCTGAGGAGATTACCTCGCCGAAGAATCGCCATAAACTTGACCTGCTTCATGTCGATTTTAATTTAGAGCCTCTCTTCATTTTTTTTCCTCTCTCTTTTTTGGAGAGCACCCCCTAGAAACAAAGCAAAACTCCTGCGTGACGTGGAGCTGAGAGGAAAGTGCAGCATTGTGGGGCTGCAGTTTCTCCACTGTAGAGTTCACGGTTCATTACTCGTCTTGTCAGTGTTTTTCCTTAGACATGAGTGCACATTGCTTATCGGGACCCCCGTCTTCTCCTTATTGTGCACAGATTCTTCCCCAATAAGCAGGTTTATTTATTTATTTTTTTGTAAAAAAGAAAGAAATTCGGAATCAGTGAGGTATTAAAAGGTAGATCAGGAAGTGTTTTCTTTTGTGCAGATATCAGAGCTAACCACAGCCTTCATTATGTGCTCCACTGACTGTTGGCACTCTGGGGAGGAGATATGCGCACATGCATGACCCTAATGGTCCATACACTGCAGTTAAATAATGATAACAGTAAGTGATGATTAGAATTATGCAAATCTGGATGTTGGCTATTAATAGCAGCAGTATATTTGAGCTAGACAAGGTTGGAGTAGAGATGCACCAATCAGTCAGCCAGTCATCAGAATCGGCTGACCTGCTCTGACTGCTCAGGATGCAATAAAACTATGTGATATTTTCCCAATAACAGTATCTGTGTTTATATAATAATTTTTAGAACTTTAATGAAAAAATATATCTCCATGTGTGTTAGGATAATAAACCAGAAATTGGTACCAGCTAGGAAAAGCCTGATTGGAGCGTCTTTGGTCTGTTGTGCAAAAACAAGTCAAACTATCCAAGAGTTTTAAAGGGCTTAATATAGGCTATAACCTATAGATGGCAATGAGGGGGTTGGGGGGTGGGAATCAAGTGTCTAAATTAAGGGGATTAGCTGGATAGTCCTACATAAAAAGTAATGAAGCGATTAGGCTAAATAATTTAAATCCATGGACTTCCATATGGTTGAGTGCTTGGTCTGAGTGCAGGAGAGGGGCAGCCACTGGCTTTTTATGTCCTGGACTGAATGGCAGGACAGAGAGAAGAAGACTGGGGGCCCGAATGAGAAGACCCCCCCTCCCTCAAGCCCCGCCGCGCATACTCTACTCCTCCGATCCCTGGCCCTTATGTCTGATTATGGAAATGAGAGGCAGAGAGAGAGATCACGGCAGAAGATAATACTTCATTTAATCCAAGGACATAATTAAATAACACAGAACACCACTTGTGCATTTAAGTGTCTCTTTGAGCAGCATTGTCACCTATTCTCTCAGGCATTCAGTGTTGAAAAAAAAAAATCTTTTATATTATTATCATGATTTCAAATAGATAGGTCAGAAGATTGACTGAACCACTATGGTATGCAGATGTGCAAATATTAAGAAAAAAAACTCTGGGGATTTGAGGTATATGAAGGAAGTGATGTTGTGCTTGGGGCACTCGTGCAGATCTTTAATTGACTGTATGAAGACGTGGCCTATTTTAACATAATGATGGTCCCTGTGTAGCCAAATCAGGACAAATCCTCATTGGATTATGTTTACACTGACAGAATAATATAAATGACCTACGAGCATATCAAGATATAAGATAACTTTCTGACAGATGTGTAATGTTGAAGGATGAGTTTATTTTGTGTGTGTGTCTAAATAGGCATATCCAAACAGACAGCATGTCCATGCCTGTTAGAGCTGAATGCATGCATTGTAATAAAACATGGGCTGCACAGTACATCTGTGATTTCATATATATATATATATATATATATATATATATATATATATATATATATATATATATATATATATATATATATATATATGAGTTTTTGTATTTTTGTGCTACATCTGATCTGTGGTCGTTAGGCAGCGACACCCTTCACCAATTTGCATTGTGTGAGCATTATCTCTTTCCATATGTATTTTTAATATATGCCCTCGGGCATGAAGTTGAAGTGGACTGGAAAGTGAATTTGCACAAAAGAACAATGTTAACAAGAGAGAAAAACCGGGCTCATTTATTCACAAACCAATTTATCCTAGCGAGGCGACTGTAGCAGGACAAAAAAAAAAAATATATCAGAGGGAAAAAAAAAATGCTTTGAATTGATTAAACTCACCAATCTAACAATGCTGACTTTCTTAGCTGCATTATCCCCACGTCATAAAAGTGACTGCGTTTTTTATTTACGTGTGTTTTTATTACTTTTCTTTTTTTTTTTTCCTTGTCTAAGAGGGAGATTTTTACGGCACTTTTAAGAAGAAAGCGCAGCATACCTGAGAGGTGAAAAAGTCAGAGGCTCTGCGCTGGCTTGTGAATGCAGCTCAGCTAGTTTGGGCTCACCCTCAAATGTTTTTGTGTGTCTTAGTCTGTGCAAGCTTGTGCACGAGTGTGAGTGATTGTGTATTTGTGCATGCACGGTGCAGCTTGTGTGTGTTCAGACCAGCCTGATAAATGCAGCACCCCCCTCAGGTGCTATGTGAGTGGAGTGACTGGTTAGCACCAGTTGGACTCTCTTAACTCCTTCCTTGCTGGTTTCCAGAGACTTTTCTTAATGGTATTCGTTCTCTTTTCAGCACATCTGTGAAGTCTTGTTGTTTAAATATGCTGCAGTATTGTGCCTTGCATCTCAGTCGGAGGAGTCAGGGAAATGTTGCAGGACGTCATTTGCGCAGTCTTTAATTGCTCAGAGTGCAGGAGGGGTGGGGGTGAGGAGTATTGCAATTTGTTAATGAACTCCAAGGCCCGTTGAGCCTGAACACCGCTAATAGTGCTGAGGACTCACTCCAAGTCTCAAGAGCTCCTCTACTTGAAGTGGGGCTGGAAATAATTGAAACTTCCTAAAAAAAAAAAAAAAAAGATTACCTGCCTGATTGCAGGAGTCCTAAACGATTCTGAATGCCCGGCGACTGATGTGATATGTTCTTTCAGCCTACGGTGTTATTTACCTTTTAGAAAGGTTCCCTGGCACTGCAGCTGGAATCATGTAGAAAGAACACGCAACGGCGACAATCTATCTATACGTTAAGGGATCTGTGGCTGGTTTTCACTACATCCCACTTGGCCTTTCCAAAACAAACCCTGCTTTTGAGGGGCGTGTTGTGGTCATGGTGTAACACTTTACCCCTGATAGTGCTATCATGGTATCTTCTCCCAACAAATGGCACTGTTTTGCCAAACAAGTGAGGGCTTCCAGGTCAGTGGGACCCAGCAGTGTTGGTTTAGGTAACTCTGATTGTCAAATACTACTGAACCCCAACTCCCCCCCTTCCAAGCCTCTGAACTCCTGAGCCGATGGAAACTATAACTGCCGGGGTCAGGCACTATTTTCCTAATCAGTACACCACTATTGCTAATCTATCTGCCTCTAGTCAAGGTATGGATCGGGTTTCAGCCGACCTCTGCTGCTCTCCTACAGTGGCGCACTGCTGTTCTTAATATAAACTTTTAAATCATTGTATTGATTGTTGGTAATAGCAGCTTTTGTAGTTGAATAGAAGACAGGTTTGACCCCCACAGTCACCCCCTCCCACCCCCTTTTTCCTTTCACCTCCTCCTCCTTCTACTCCCCTAAATTCCCCTTTTTTTCTTCTCTTTGAGTTGTGAATGCGGGGCGGCTGTTGAGGATTCAACAAGTGATACAAAGAGGTGACCACGTGACTTGTGTGTTCCTTAGCCTCTTCATTATTGTGCTGGAATAACAAGTAGGGGTGATTATGATTATGCAACCCGATGCTGGAATAACATCAAAGAATCTAGAGTGCATCTTAAATGCCACCATACTTTTATTGTTGTTTTGCTGTTGATTTATTGTTTGTTTTTTGAATGTTGAAGTATTGCTGGAAAGTAGAGCTTGGTTGAACCACAGGATCCCAGCTGCAAATAAGTTCCTGGCTTGTGACTCCTGATGCTTAAGATGAGCGTCAATGTCCGTCCCCGAGGCCTTCTGTGGTTTCTTAGGCTAAGTAAACAATAACCTGGCTTAACACATGTGTACTTAGCTAATGGAAAGTTCCTCTCCCCCTTAACCCCCTGCAAGCCTCCAACAATGGCCGCCGTCACAAACAGCTTGTCTCTAAGGAATCGGCCGAGAAAATCCCAGCAAGTTAACCCGCAGCTTGACTTGAAGAAGAACCCGCTGCGAAATGTGTCATTAAGAAATCACGTCCACCCTTTTTTTTTTTTTTTTCACCCACAGCTACATAAAAAAACAAACAAAGCAAAGCAGGGATGTGCTTTGTCTAGTGGTTAGGGAGGGCACCAAAGTTAATGTTTTTGTTTGGATTTCGGCTCTCACGGGATAAACAAGGAGCGTATAGCGAGAGTCGTAGAGGAAGCTGAGAAATAAAATCAGTTTGTCAGTTTCTACGAGTGCCATCTAAGCAGACTTTGAAAGCTCCGGTAATTATCTCAAACATGTAATTATCTTTGCTTGTCTCTGCGAAGTTAACCTACCAGTTTTGAAGTGTACCTGACGGCTATTCAGCGTAGCATACTTTACGCACTCAAGAGACAAAATCCAGTTTTCTTCCTCTCCCCCTTCAGCAATTATAAGGTTATTTCTCCTTTCTTTGTCTATTGTTAGGAGTTAGGGAGTGCAGAACAAAATGGGAGGGAGGGGGTCCTTTTTACTCTCCCCCCACTTTTTTTTTTCTTTTTCACCACGCATACCATTATCAGCGTCTCTTTTCATTTTGGAAGCACTAATATTGCAGCAAGG